CCCCCCCCTCCTTTTTAAAAGCTCTCCAACCCTAAGGGTTGTGAGTCTCAAGAAGGGACTTGGGTCCTACTATCTGAGGAGGGGAGCCTCCTGGCCCTGTGTGGAAGATGACCAGAGGCTCCAATAAACATAATCCCAGCCTTTAGGAGGCAGAGGCGGGGGTGCTGGGAGAGCCAGGCCAGCCTGAGATACACGTTACCCTATCTTAAACAACCCAGGGACTGGGTTATCTCTTCTGAATCCCCATGGACTTCCCCTGCCCTGTCTCATGACTTTCCTCTCTTCCCAATGTCCATGTTTGCAGTTGGTGTATGATGGGATCCCCAAGGGAGACCTGCAGCAGCGGGAGCTCCAGCTGAGCGTGCTAAGTGAGCAAGGATTTTGGGAGAACGTACTCCTTGGCGAGGTGCACATCCGCCTTCGGGAGCTGGACCTGGCCCAGGAGAAGACTGGCTGGTTTGCCCTGGGATCTCGAGGTCACGGAACCTTATGAGCCCAGTCATGGACCAGACCCGCTGCTGCTGCCCAGAGCTAGGGAAGAAGTCTCTCCCCTGCAGCTCCTTTGCTGGGAAGGGGCAGAGCCATGGGTGGCCTTCCCCATGATCTAGGTGAACCTGATCTCGGCGAGGGGCTGCAAGAGTCCAGTGCTCTCCGCTGCCCCTTCCTCAGCCGAATGCACTCGGGTTGGTTGTGGGGAACAGCCCCTTGGAAGTCGTGGGGTTTCAGCAGAGTTTTAAGTTTACCTTGTGTCAAGGGAGCAATGCCTGCTTTGGGGTGTGTGGAGTGCGGGCTGTATGAAGTAGCACTTGGGGGAGGGTGGGTGGATATTTTATTTTTATTTTTAAAAAATGAAATAGTAATGTTGTCCTAACTGGGACAGGAAGCTTTGTGAGAGGGGCATCCCATGCCTCAAAAGACAAAAAGAGGACTGACTATTTGGGTTTTTTGTATCATGAAAGTTCTTATTGGACTTTTCCCCAGGACTTTTGGGGTTTTGTTTTCTAGCTATAGGAAATGTTGGGGAGGAGCCCAGTCAGTCCTCGGTGAAACCCTCCCCCTCTCAGGCGCCCTGGGGAAGGGTGGGGAGGACTCGCTGACTGCTGGGCTGAGGCCCTCTCTGGGCCGTCAGATTTTGCCTCCAAAGGAGAGCAGCGTGATAACTACATGTGTAAGGAAGGGGCCTTCCATGTCAGGGTTCCGCCAAGGACCTATGTTCAGGGACCCATGCTCTTTAGAGCAAAGCTTTTTCTCTTCTCTTTCCCTGCTGGTTGGATTTGACTCTAACTCTTCCTCTCCTGCTTGCCCTCTGATCTCTCCACCCTCTGTGGGTCCTGGTGAATACATTGGGATGCTTCTACACCCCATCAGGGACAAAGTGTTGCGACCCTTAGCTCTGGGCTATCCCTGTGGAGGGCAGGTGTGTAGTGGCCACTGAGACCCAAACCCTGTTTCTGTCACACTTCAAATGGACGAGGAAGGATTTAGTGTGTAGACAAAGGGTGCCCAGCCCACAGCAAGAGGGGGCTGGAAAGGGTGAGGATTGGTCTATGCCATTGTTTCTTCTGGTTATCTTCCTGGCCAAAGGAAACTGGACTGGAGCAGCATATGCTTTAGAAAACAAGCAAAGATTATTTTAACACATGTCTGTCTTACGTGGTGCTAGGGATCAAACCCAGAGCCCTTTGACTACCAGGCAAACACTCTACCAACAAGCTACTTCCCCAGCCCACCTCGTACTCTATTCTTACCAGATGAATTTAAAATCCACTCGACTTTCCCTCCAAATAATTGTTCTATTTAAAAAGCGAGAGGTAGATTTAACTTTTTTTTGTTTTTTTTTTTTTTTTTTTGAGCCAGGGTCTCACTATGTAGACTAGGCTGGCCTCAAACTTATAGAGATCTTCCTGCCTCTGCCTCTGTAGGGCTGAGATTAAAGGCAATGAACTTTTAAAGCAGGAGTTATTTGATAAGGGAAAAGGGTTAGCAAGAACACCATAAACAGTTTCTCTGTGACCCCACTACTGGAGAGAGAAAAGCTCCGTTCATTGAAGCCACATGGAAGCGAGAAAGGTTTTGTTTTTGTTTTACTTCTGTTTTTGTATGTAGATATCATATGTAAATGAGGATAATCTTGACCTACTTGCCTTTAACCACCCAGGTGCTAAGATTACAGACATGAGCCACCACATCCATTTTTTTTTTTTTTTAGAAATGCCAGGCCAGTGTGATGGGTCAGTGAGTAAGGGCACTTGCCCTGTCAACTTAAGTTTGATCACTGAGACCTTCAAGGTGGCCAGAGCAAACCAACTTCCACAAGTTTGGCTTCCACATACATTATACATCATGTGCGCACACACACACACACACACACACACACACACACTCACACACACACGTAATATACCCCTTTTAAAATGCCAAGGATAAAGCAGACTACTAAAGGCGGGAGACCAGAGAGGGAATACAGTGGAACCTTCCAGATGTGTTTGGACCATAGATGAGCTACTGGCTTTTTGTCTGTAGCTCATTTTATTTTGACCCTTTATGCCCCTGACTTAAAGAGGTTTACGTACTGTACCCACTTCCCACATCCCTTGTATCTTCTACTTTCTCTGGGATTGTATTTTCTAATAAATGATATTTGAGAAGACAAAGCTACCATTATTAAAGATTGGTTGATGTGTGAATGTTTGGGTTAAAGCATCGGGTGTGTGTTTATATGCCTAGTGTAAGACATGGGACGGGACGTTTTTTACAGCTGTCAGCTTGCTACCAAAGCTTCAGGGCAAAAGCCGTGCTTCAGCAGGCCTGACAGGTTAGGCTCAGCCACTGTTCCCACATGCCAATTAAAAGGAGAGTGGTGACGAAAAGCAGGGAGAGAAGATTTATGCAGTGTGACCACATTGGAAAGACATAAACGGGTCTGGTGGCACCCATCCCCCCAAGTTCATCTTCAGGGTACTGACAGGACCTCTAGGTCAAAAGAGAGGAAGAACTGGAGGGGAGAGCAGGTATGCATAGTTAAGTTGTCTCGGTCAAGGTGTGACACCAGCTCTTATGGTCTCAGCTGGAATCTTACAAGGCACTCCAATAAATTGTTGCTATAGATTGCTCCTACTGTCCAGACATGATTCCTCCAAGATGATCTACTCCTGGATGCAGTGTTTCAATCATTGACAATTGACATCGTCTTCAGCAATCTCCATCTTGGAGTTCCAGGCTAGACTTGGCTACAAGTCCTGAAAGGAAAATTAAAAAACTCAAGGAGAGTAAATAGTTAAAGAAAAACTATCTTAAAAGTGCTTGTTTGAGCCGGGCGTTGGTGGCGCACGTCTTTAATCCCAGCACTCGGGAGGCAGAGGCAGGCAGATCTCTGTGAGTTCGAGGCCAGCCTGGTCTCCAGAGTGAGTGCCAGGATAGGCTCCAAAGCTACACAGAGAAACCCTGTCTAGAAAAACAAAGAAAAAAGTGTTTGAGTCATTTCCTGAGTTTGTGAAATTGTTAGAGAGGGATCAAAACTGTGAATAACAAAAGATTCAGAACAGCCACGGTTAGAAGTTGGCAGAAGAGTTAGCAATTGACCAAGCAGTGTAAGTTTTTCCATTGCATATTCATTTTAGGTTAATGATTATGACTGGCAGCACATTAGGATCATCAAACTGTCCTAACTTTCTTCTCAAGAATACATTTAAATGTTTTATTTGTTTTAAAACATGGCAGGGTAGTTGTGGCAGGTGGACCTCGGAGTTCCAGGGCAGTCTGGGCTACACAGAGAAATACTATCTAAAAAAAAAAAAAAAAAGATATCTATCTCTTTTGGGGCTGGAGAGATGGCTCAGAGGTTAAGTGCTGGCTGCTCCTCCAGAGGTCCAGAGTTCAATTCCCAGCAACTACATGGTGCCCTCTTCTGGCCTGTAGGCATACATGCAGGCAGAATACTGTAAATAAATCTTGAAAAATAAATCTTAAACTATAAATAAATAAATCATTTATTTGTGTGCCGGGTGGTGTGCCGGGTGCCGGGTGGTGGTGGCACATGCCTTTAGTCCCAGCACTTGGGAGGCAGAGGCAGGTGGATCTCTGTGAGTTCGAGACCAGCCTGGTCTACAAGAGCTAGTTCCAGGACAGCCTCCAAAGCCACAGAGAAACCCTGCCTTGAAAAACAAAAACAAAAAAGGCAAACCAGTGAAGACACTTAGACACTTGCCCTGTGAGCCTGGCAACCTGAGTCTGTTCCCTAGAACCCACATAAGTAGGAGTGAACCGACTCTGCAAAGTTGTTCTGTGTACTGTCCATGCTCACATTGTACATATGTATGTGAGTGCTGATCATGAATAATCTAAGCATTATATATATGTATATATGACATGATTTATCAATAATAGTTTGCATTTACACACAAATTCACATTTAATTTTTGCCTTTTAAGAATAAACAAGTACAGCAGGCAATGGTGGCACACGCCTTTAATCCCAGTATTTGGGAGGCAGAGGCAGGTGGATCTCTGAGTTCCAGGCCAGCCAGAGCTACACAGAGAAATCCTGTCTTAACAAAACAAAAACAAATAAAAGAATAAACAAAAATGTCTTTAAAGTAAAACATACTTGTTTAGAGGTGGCTCTCTAGCTGACTGGTACCCAATCCTTTCTAATTAAATAGTGGCACTATCTAAAGTGTACGGTTTTAATGCACATCTGTTCATCTTTGCTTAAAAGAGACAATCATGAGGCTGGAAAGATGGATCAGCAGTTAAGAACACTGGTTCTTGCAGAGAACCTGGGTTTGGTTCCCAGCACCCACGCTGAAGTTTATAACCATCGGTAACTCTAGTTCCAATGGCTCCAGTGCCGGCTTCTGGCCTCCGTGGGTTCCTACACACATATGGTGCATATACATACATGCAGATAAAATGTCCATGGGCCCATTGGTCCATCACAGACAGGCTGCTGAAGAGGGTGCTGCGCTTAGCTCCACTTCACATCTTCCAAAGTACTCACTAGGCTCAAGAGGCAGCTGATGAACAAGGAGACCCTAAGCTGGTGATAATGGTCATGGTGGTGACTGGGGATAGGTGTGGTGGGTGCTTTTGGAGGAAGTGACTCTTGAGTATAGCTTGAGACAGGTTTACCACTCACTTGGACTTGCCGCCCTGCTGCCCTGCTGCCCTGTTGCCATGGACCCTGTGACCCCATGAGTGTTCTATCTTGTGAGCATTCCAGTTTGTGAACACTAGCTCAGGCATTCTTCCCTTCAGTTCATTTTGCTGGGATCCTCCTGTCTGCTGTGAGCACTGGGATGTGACTGTTGGTAGTGACACTTCTTCAAGCTGTCCTCTGGTGTGGCTATTACATGACGACTAGCCTTTGTCCTTAGCAGTTGTTGCCTCAGCGGTCTAAGTGAAGGCCCACTCCTAAGGCCCACAGATACTAAAAACATAGTGGGGTCTACCTGAGAAGGGCATTGTGTGTGTGGAGATGCTATGGTGGCTTGAATGAGAATGAACTCCAGTAGGCTCCTATATTTAAATATTCAGTCCCGGGTTGCTGGTACCATTTGGGAAGGATTAGGAGGTGTGGCCTTGTTGGAGGAGGTGTGTCACCGGCTTTGAGGTTTCTGATTCTCTCTGCTTGTGGATCAAGATGTAAACTCTCGGCCACTGCTCCAGCACCGTGCCTGCTACCATGCTTCCCACCATGCCGTGCTGTTTTACCTTCACTACAGTGCTGGTGCTTTGAACTACTAGAGGCTTGGCCGCTAGTGCAGTAGCCTGGGGGGAATTCTGTTCCCCGGGAC